GAGAGGCCTCCGACAACACGCGATCCTGGGAAATCGCGCCGCACACATCCCGAAATTCATTAACGGTTAGATATGGTTGCGAACATTCCAATGGACGGGAGTGGTATCCCCATCCGAAAAGCAAACTCTCAAAACTCGGCCAGCAACATGCGAGAGGGGGGTGGCGGCGACACCATCAGGTGGTGAGGGCTGACCATTATTGATCACACCAGGCGCGACCGTGGCTACCCCACCTCGGATGCGCTCAGCGGGATCCCCCCCGCAGAAGCTCGAAAAGATCAGAGCCCCAGGGGGGGCCTTCTGGAAAAAGCTAGTTAGCTGGATTTTATCCTGTCTAACCTCCTGAATTGCCGAAATCGAAGAGCCTAAAACACAGACGTTTCAAATAACCCAACTTCGCTGAAGCATGCTTACCTTCATGCTGGAGCAACGCCCTACAATTCCATGGGTTAAAGCGAAGACCACCCAGCGCCTCTGCATCCTGGAGAGAGGGCAGAGGGCAGACTGCAAAGAGGCGCGCGAATCTGCTAAAGACACCACTGCGGCTCAGCGTCTGGCTCAATAGCGCTGCTGATCGCGGAGGCGAGCACCTGCTTGTCGAGGCCGAGCTTGGTGAGCGTGGCGGCGTTCCAGTGCACCTTCGTCGGTGTACGGCCCTCAAACACCTCCAGCTTGAGGAGCGGGCCCCACCCCGCAGACAGCCAACCCCTCTCACGGTCGAAGAAGATGCGGTGGGCAGCACCCGCGGCAGGGGCCAGGAGCGACCTGACCTTGCGCCCCGTGATCTCGAGCTTGATGGTGCGCGGGTTCTTGTCCGCGCTGACATGTAACTTGGCGACTCCCTCGCCACTGTGCGTATCCACTTCGAACTGGCGCCACTGCCCGTCCACGCGGAGCATAGAGAGAGCTTTGGCAACACGACGAGCCGCAAGGCCTTCACCTCCAGCGACACGAATAACGAACACCCGTGAGAGGACATCACGGCATTCAATGGACCACCAGTCGTCAGCAAATCCAGCATCCACGAGCCACGGCTGCAGCACCTCCTGCACCTTGACCTTCGACACGAGCTTGCCCGCGTTGACCTTGATGATCGAGTAGTCCACCTCGCGCCCGAATGACGGCGAGAAGACGATGGGCTTGTTGGGCTTCTGGTTGGCCGTGACCAGGGCCTCCTGCAACAGCTTGACACTCTCCTTAAGTGCGACGATATATTCTGAATGGGCCTCAACCTTCGTGTCCACAGACGCGATGATTGACGAGAGGGAGTCGTACGTCTGCGTGAACTCACGACGAAGCTCTTCCAGCCGCGGGTTGAGAGTATCCTGAATCTGCTTGTCCAGTCGCTTCGGGAGCGACGCCATCTCGGCCTGGCACTTCTGGAAGCACTGCTCAAAGTGAGCCTTGAAGGAGTTAGCAATGGTCTCGGACTCGCTAGAGATGGCCTCCGTGACTGACTGGGCGACCACACTGTCAACATCCTTCTTGAGCGCCTGGAGCTGGTCGGACACAATGCTGGTGCAAAGCGCACGGATGTGCTCCTCAGAAAGCTCACCCATGGAGACCTCCCCGTCGCTGTCCTCGGCAACCATGTCTGTGACAGCAGGAGGAGCAGTGGGAGTAGGACCGGCCGCGCCACGAGCAGCACGAGCAGCACGCTGCCCACGAGGAGTGACAACCTTCGCCTTGCCGGCTTTGATGACTCCAGCACCGCCATGCGTCGACATCCGACAGACAAAATAACTGTGTGCGAACTCACGTGCGGGGCTGAGTGGGGGAGCCCAAATCCCCCAGTGAAGGCTGAGAAGAAGGGATGCCAGGCAAAACTGCCTTGCCTGCCGCGGACTAGCGGTATCCCTGCATGCTTTGGGGCTGGAAGCCCCCAAAGCCATAGTCTTGAGCCAAAATGGCTACGGAGGAGGAAGAGGAGGAGGAGGAGGAGGAGGAGGAGGAGGAGGAGGAGGAGGAGGAGGGGGGAGGAGGAGGATGATGAGGAGGAGGAGGAGGAGGAAGGAGGAGGGGGAGGGGAGGACGGAGAGGAGGAGGAGGAGAGGAGGAGGAGGAGGAGGAGAAGGCGGAGGAGGAGGAGGAGGAGGAGGAGGAGGAGAAGGAGGAGGATGAGGAGGTGGAGGTGGTGGGAGGAGGAGGAGAGGCGCTGGAGGAGGAGGAGGAGGAGGAGGAGGAGTAGGAGAATGAGGAGGAAGAGGAGGAGGAGGAGGAGGAGGAGGAGGAGGAGAAAGAGAAAGAGGAGGAGGAGGAGGAGGAGAAAGAGAAAGAGAAAGAGGAGGAGGAGGAGGAGGAGGCGGCCCCCAGCCGATCTGGACTGGATTCCGAGCGGTGAGGGCCCCTCTCTCCCCGACCGACCCACCGATGCCAGGCACGGAGGACTAAGACGAAGCCAGGACGAGGATAACATGGGGTGAGAATTACAGTCAACCCGTATCATAAGGACGCGCGATAAGGATGCAAGGGCCTTGGAAGGCCATGCCGACACTTTGCGGTCGGGGCGCGGCCAGCGAAAGCGGCCGAAGATGGGCCGACAGGGAAAGATACAGGGGCAGCCTTGGAGAATCGATCTTCTTTGCTACGCGGGCAACTGTAATCGAGAATATCCGAGATTCGGCGGCTCTGGAGGATTTCTTGGGCGCCGCGGCCTTCTCAGAGCGTTCCAGAAAGCTCTGAAAGCGTTCCGGGAGCGACGAAAGACCTCCCACCATGATTTTTCACGATGCTGGTAGAGGCCTCCTAGATGGGGTCGGAGTAGATGGGGTTGGAGGATCGAGCCGCATCGCCGATACGTCGGCGATACATCGGCGATGCATCGGCGATGCAACAGCGATGCATCGTCGACATGGGCGATGCATTGGCGACGCCGACGTGAAGCAGACCGGACTCCACATCGAGCCACAGCGGCGATACGCAGGCGATGCGGCGCGATCCTCCGACCCCATCCTCTCGGACCTCACCTGGGAGGCCTATAGAACGATGCTGGGCTTAGCTGCCCCGTACGCAGCACGCGACACGTAGCGTAGCGATACGGTGCTTAACACGTATACTGAAAACGTAGGTCTGACGCGATGCGTTCGCCAAATTGCGGGCCAACTCGCCGAGCCAACACGCAACGAGTCGACACGGACGTTTTGAGCACGATGCGTGTTGCGTATTCAAGCGGGCGTACCGAGGCAGCGGAGATGCCGGGTGGTCTGGCCTGGAAGGCCGGCCCCAGGGGAGAAGGTGCCGAGAGCTCCGAGGGCCCGCGCGTCGACGCGAGGCCGGCGCGCCGGATGTCTGGGCTGCGCTCCCTGTTGGGTGGCCCAAGAGGGGGGTCCAGCTACAAGGGGGTGGTGCAGCAGATTCGGGGCAATTGCATCGCAAGTGTACTGCGCCGGAGAATTGTCTCGCAGTGTGTTGCAGCTAATGCACTGCACGCGGAAAATCAAGCAATACATGTGCGCACCCACGTGTACTGCACGCCCCAGATCCATGGCAACCCCACAGATGTATGGCACCAAAGCTAATGCACCGCTCCCTTCTCGCTGGACCCCCTTCTTGGGGTCGACCAGAGTCGGCTACACGCAAGAGTGACCCTGGGCAAGAGTGACCTTCGGCGCGTGGCTTTTTGGGGGCCGCGGGGTGACCAAACACGGGCGCGCAAGACGCTGCCAGCGCATCGATTTCGGCGATCGTGGAACCTCAATGTGCCCGCGCCAAGGGTCACTCCGGCGAAGTGTCACTCTTACGTCTGGCCGGCAGGGAGGGACCGCGCGTCGACGCGAGGTCGGCGCGCCGGACGCCTGGGCTGCGCTTCCCTGCAGGCCTGGCGGCCGGCGCGTCGGCGCCCTCCCGTCCGGGGGCTTCTCTGTGGGGCGCGGCCGCGCGTCGAGGCCCCTTCGGGCGGCCCCAGGACGGCCCGCCCCTCGGGGCAGCCGCAGGGCACGCGGCCAGCTCCGCCCTGCGCCCGAAGTCCTCTCAGCTCAGCTTGCCGACGAGCTTCACGAGGTAATAGCCCAGAAGCGTTCCCGTACAGCCGGACTCGACTGGACAGGACACGCGAGAGGGCACAAGACCCTCCCGAGGGCCACGTTGCCACAGGAATGTAGGAAGCATGGGTCGCGAGGCACGGGACACGAGGGTACCCTTGATTTGGCAGAGTCGACCTACTAATCTGGGCCGGCTGTATTACTCTCTTAGCCTCCGCTGCTTCGCTGCCAGGGAAGCTCAGCCCGGCGAGCAGGGCGCCCGAAGGGCGGCGGGACCCGGCCGGGCGAAGCACTCCCGAAGGACCCGGAGGGAGCTTCCGAAAAACCTTCTGAGGAGCTTCCGGGCACGCGTATTGGGAAACGCTTAGAAAACAGTACTGGGAAGCGCTTAGAAAAGGCCTCTCCAGCCTCACTCCCAGGGCCTCGAGGCGAGTCACGACCCAAGCAGACAGGGAGCGGCCCTCGAGGTTCCAGGAGCGGGGGCCCTGGGGCCCCCCATGAAGCGCAAAACTGCAAGCCTCTGTCCGGAGTTCAGACATTGGGCGGAAGAAGGGGGGGGGGAGGGTGGAGGTCTGGCTCCGGACCTCTGCTCAACGCGACTGTTCGCAACCGTGCGTCCTAGGGGAGAGGCTCCACCTGCTCGAAGCAGGGGACAGAAACAGCCAAGATCTACTCCGTGGAGGGGGAGGGGCAGGGGTGGCGAGGGCCCGCGCCGATCGGCAAAACAATGCAGAAGAAAACGATCACGTGCTGAGCGGCTGCGTCGAGGCCAGCTGCACGCAGCAGGCTTGGCACCCACCCTCCCCCTCCCTATTCCCAAGCCCCCTCGCGTCGTGGCGGACATTTAGTTGGCCGTTTTCGGCCTCGGGGGGGCCCTCGCTGGGCCCCTGGACCGTCAACGAACAACTCGGGATGAAAAACAGGCCCTGGGGAAAGAGTCGGGGACTCCACGGGGACCCCGTACAGAAAAACAAACAAAGACCTCGGGTGTCTGGGTTGCGTCCGCCCCGGTCCTTCCAGCTGTAGCAGAGGCCACCAGCCGTGCCAAAGGACAGGCCGAGCAACATCATGACGCTGCTGAGCCGGCAGCGGATGCGCCTCATCGCCCGCTGGCCGGCGACGAGTGTCTCCTCCAGCTCCGGGCGTATAGATGCGGTCGAGGAGGTGCCTTCCACGGAGCCCATGCTGTTGCTGGTGAGGCTCGCCATCGGAGACCAGAAGACATCCGTGCCCAGGCCCCCTCACGTCAGGAGAAACAGCACGACGGGAGGCTTTTGCTGAGACCCTGGATTTGCAGTTTTTTCACAACAGGCACTTTCGCCCCGTTTCGGGCCCCGGGACCCTCGCAGATCGATCCGGCTCGAATAATGGGGTCCAGGGCTCCAGTCGTGATTAATGTTGCATTTTTTTCGCGACGTCGGATCTCAAGGTCTAGGGGCCCTCACCAGGCCCTGGGATCTTCAACGACACGGCTCGGGATGAAAAACAGGTCCCCAGGAAGGGGCCCAGACCTCTCTCTGGGCTGTGGGGGTCAACGTCGTGAAAGCATCATGACCGTCGGGGGCCTGTGTGAGGGCTGTGCCGCGACTTCTCCCCCGTCAGATTGCCGCACGCCTTCGGCGGCAGTGTTGGGAGACAGTGGCGGCGCGACACGCGGCTTGCCGAGTGGTTGCGTGGACCGCCATCGCCTGAGCCAATATGGCTCAAGGTCAGCAAGCAGTGATGCACGAGTGAGCTGTTCACGGAAAGAGCTAGGCACGCAGAGCTACGCGGCCCGTCGCCACTGCTAGGTAGCCGCCAGGCATCTGGGAAGCGATGATTATCTAGCCAGCAGAAGGTGACTTGACAGCCAAGCAGTGGCCAACGGTACGGATGGCATGCTGCTGGTATGGGCATGCAGTAGACCTCAGAGTCAGCCAGGGATGGAGAAGCGTGCGACGAGGTGAACGAGAAGGAAGAGGCACAGGTGCACGACAAAGAAGAGGACGACGGTACCACGAGAACGAGAGACATAGCAGGGACGCGAACGTCGAGCAGCCACAACTGGGGGAGCTGTTCTCCTTCTTGCACCCCTGGAGGAACCCGCTGCGTCGACGACCTCTCGAAGTCGGTGTCGATGCCGATGGGTCCCTGAGGGGGTAATTAGTCCCACGTCGTGTTTTTTCACAGCGTGGACCCTCCAAAGGTCTGGACCTATTTCGACTACACGCAAGAATGACCCTGGGTAAGAGTGACCTTTGGTGCGCGGCCTTTGGGGGCCGCGGGAGGGGGGGGGCCAACACACAAGCGCACAAGACGCGATTACCGCATCGCATTCGGCGATCGGGGGACCCCAATGGGCCCGCATCAAAAATCACTCTGGCGAGGGGTCACTCTTACGTGTAGTCGATTTTTCCCCAGTCGATTTGTCCCCCTACAGGCTGATGTTGGAAGAGATCTCAAACATAGTCAAACATGCTCAAACAAAATCAAAAATAGTAGAACAATCGCCCCCATATTATTTGTTTGGTGATTTCTGAATTCTCCTCCTGCAGAGGGACATGCCCGACTGAACCACAGCGCCAGGATACCTGGGAAGGACCACAGTGACCACAGCTCCCCCAGCGGCGGCTGGCCTTCGAGTATTGGGCAGCTCCCCCCACAATATGGCTCCAAACAGGGCGCCTCCCGCGAGCCGTGCGGAACTGAGGGCGCGGGGGCGACGAAGTCTGCTGGAGGCCGGGGAGGAGGATGGGGATGGGGGAGGAGGCGGAGCGGGGATGGGGGATGGGGGAGGAGGAGGAGGGGGAAGGGGGGAGGATGGGGGAGGAGGATGGGGGACAGAGGATGGGGGACGGAGGCCTGCGAGTTATGGGAAAACCATGGGCCGCCAGAACCCCCTAGGGAATCTGGCGACCTGTGGGTGTCCCATGACTCGGAATTACGGTTACGGGAAACCTATAGATAGACGACTGCCATGGGGGATGGGGGAGGAGGATGGGGGGGGGGATCCGGGAGTCGTGCGGAGCGGAGGGCGCGGTCGCGCCGAGGTCTGCCGGAGGCCGGAGGAGAGGATGGGGGCAGGGGGGAGGATCGCAGAAAAGAGAGCGGCCCAAACATAATCTTTTGGCGCTCCGCGGGGATTTCCTGGACCTGCGCTGGAGCCCCCTCCCTGGCGCGCAGAGCGCGCCAGGGGCGGCGCTGGAGGCACCGCGGGGGGGCCTAGCGCGGATCCTTGGGTCGGGCATGTCCTCCTACAGACGGATTTTGGGTGAACAATTATTAAGCACACGGAAACATATTCAAATAAGTGAACAACAATGTTCAAAAAGTCGTCCCCAAACTATTGTTCGACTATGCTTGAATATTCTCCTGTAGAGGGACATGTCCGACTTACGCGGATCCAAGAGATCCGCGCGGAGCGCCAACAGTTTTTAACTATTCGAGAGGAGGCGGAGCGGCAGCGGGGGGGCAGCGGGAGCCCGCGAAGGACGCACGCGCCCCACCACACGACCATGAAGACGGCACCCCGGGCCGCGAGAGCGGCCTCGTGGTACGAACGCTCGCGCGATGCGCACTGCCGAAACCAACGTGGATTCATGCACAGCCGAAAATAAGATCTGGAAAAGTACCACGTGAGAAACCTGGGCAAGCGTCCAGGAGAATGTCTTCAAAATCAAAGCTGGACCGACATCTGTTGTTGACGCTGGAGGGGCGAACGTGCCCAAGGAACTGGGCCTCGCTCTCTGGCAAGCTGGCTGCGAAACGCCGGCCCAGCTTTTCGGGGGGAGATGTCTTGATCAGATGCTCGACTGTACGTGTACGTCCTTCTCTCGGTCTCTAGACCCGCTCGTGGGCTCTTGGAGATTCTCTCGCCACGGGGTGCGCGGCAGCAACTGCACTTAGGTCGGGCATGCCCCCCTACAGACGGATTTTGGACGAGATAATACTGATACTAAAAACATGCCCCAACCTTGTCAAACATGGTCAAAACAATGCCCCCTGACTACTTTTTACTACTTTGGGGATAGTTATTCCCCCTGTAGAGGGACAGGCCCGACTCAATTCTAGACCCGCTCGCGGGTCCTTTTTTGTTCCTCGGCCCCCGCCGCGGCCCCGCCGCGGTCGCGCACCCGCGCGGCCGCCCTGCCGCGGCCGCCCCGCCCCCCTCGCGCGGCACAGAGGACTGCGCGGGGACCGGGGCCGACCGCCCCGGGGCAGTCCCGCGGGCCTGCCGCCCCAGGCAGGACCGCGCAGGCGCTCACTGGCCACAGAAGGAGGGGCAGAAAGAGGGAGGAGAAGGTCTCGTCTCTCTCTCTCTCTCTCTCCTCTTGCTCCCCTTATTTCGGCATTGCACTGTTTCGCTGGCTGCGCTGAGTGGGGTCACCCGCTCGTGGGTTCTTGGAAGCTCTCTCGCCCGGGGTGCGCGGCAGCAGCTGCACCCCATCGAGGGCGCACTCCATGGAGGTGCCCAGGGGGCGTCCCGGCCAGCTGCCGGAAGCCCGAGGCGTGGCCGGAAAAGACCGGGTAGCCTCGCGCCGCGAAGAGGGCGCGGCGGCCAGCCTCTTTGGCCGCCAGGGGTCCTCCCTCCCAGAGATCCAACGTATTGAACAAATCAAGACGAATTTGTTTCGCAAAGTTCGGCCCCTGGGGGCCTTCGCCAAGCCTCGGGACCGTCAAAAAACGACTCAGGATGAAAAGCCGGTCCTGGGGAATGGGTCGAGACTTCCAGGGACCCCGTATTGAAAAATTCACGACATCGGATCTCAGGGTCGCGCTGTGAAACAAGTCGCGACGGGAAGCGTTTCTCCATCTTCGGCCTCCGGTGGGGTGCCATTAACTGGCCCAGCTATTCTCGGGGGGGGATTTCTTGGCCAGATGCTCGACTGTGTGTGTACGCCCTGCTTATCGCTGCGGAAAGCTAGAGGCCTCCTTGATGGGGTCCGAGTAGATGGGGTCGACCGATCGCGCAGCCTCGCCAATGCATCGCCGATGCATCAGCGATGCATCGGCGGTGCATCGGCGACGTCGGCGTGGGGAAACACAAGCTCCACATCGAGGCGCATCGTCGATGCATCGGCGACGCGGCGCGATCCTCCGACCCCATCTGCTCGGACCCCACCCAGGAGGCCTAGAAGAGCGCGCGGGGGGAGGCGGCGGAGGCGCGGGGGCGGCAGGGGCGAAGGCGAGGGGGGGGGGGCGGAGGGCGCGGCGGCGGCCACCCCCCCCTCCCCGGGGCACCGCCAGCACCACGCTGCTCACGCCGTACGCGCGGAGCCTCTCTGCGCCTCGGGGGCGAGCACGCGGCGGCTTGCGGCGCGCGCAGTGGGGCTGGAGGGCGGGGGGAGGGCTCCTTGGAAGCCCCCCCTGCTTCTCAGAAGGCGCCGGCCTTGCATCTCCAGATGAGGCCCCGCGCCCTCTGAGAAGCAGAGGAGCTTCTGAGGAGCCCTGCCCCCTCCCCCCCCACCCCCCTCTGCGCGCGGCTGCGGCAGGCTCCGGGGCCCCTGGGCCCAGAAACCCCGCGATCTCCCCAGGCCCCCTCGCGCTGCGAACAGAATCGCGACGGGAAACCGCCCGTGCCATCGTCGGCCTCTGCGGGGGGGGGCCCTTTACTGGGCCTCGGGACCGTCAACCGGGATGAAGAGCCGGTCCTGGAGAAGGGGTCGAGCCCTCTGGGGATCGACGTTCCGAGCAGAATCACGACGTCGGGGCTCTGGAGGAGGAGGAGGAGGAGGAGGTGGAGGAGGAGGAGGAGGGGGAGGAGGGGAGGAGGAGGGGGAGGAGGAGAGGGGGAGGAGGAGGAGGAGGAGGAGGAGGAGGAGAGAGGAGGAGGAGGAGGAGGAGGAGGAGGAGGGGAGGAGGGGGAGGAGGAGGAGGAGGAGGAGGAGGAGGAGGAGGAGGGGGAGGGGAGGAGGGGAGGGGGGAGGAGGAGGAGGAGGAGGAGGAGGAGGAGGAGGAGGGGGAGGAGGAGGAGGAGGAGGAGGGGGACGACGACGACGACGTCGGGGCTCTGGGTCTCAAGGGGGTGCGCTTCTTACTTCCGCTGTGCTTCTGCCAGCCTTCCGATGGCGCAGCCGCCCCCCTAGTGTTGCTTCCGCCGCCTTCCGCCGCGGAAGCGATGGCAACCCCTTCGGTCCTGGAAGGCGAGGCCCCCTCTGGAGCGCCTCATGTGGTCGGTCCCGAGCAGAAGCGATCAGATAGACACGAGTGCCCAAATCTCCGACGAGATGTTTTTCTTCAATCTGGGCGTTTTTCCTTCATCCTGGCATCTGGGGGCCGCTGTCTGGCTCCGTGTCTGGATCCAGGGCGTAAAACTATCCCCAGGGAAGGGGTCGGGACCTCCGTGGGGTCGCAGATTGCAGAATCCACTGGCTCAGTCGGCGTGCGTGAGAGGCTCTTCGAAGCGAGGCCAGCCCGACCCAGATTGAAGTACGCCAGCCTCCTTTGAACCGTCGTCGCCGCACGGGAGATTGAACAAATAAGGGGGATCGAACAGTGTCGTAGTCACGTCGCAAGGCAGCCCCTTCCCTTTGTCCCTTCCCCGCCAGTGGGACGGGGGGGTCCCCGGGGGAGGAGGGACCTCCTGCAGGGGGTCCTGCGGGGTCCCAGGGGATTCCTGTAGGTGGCGTCCCGGGAGAGGTCCCGGGGGTCGTGACCCCCACCCTGGGCGGTCCCCCCTGTGAAGAACAGGAGTGCTAGTATAGTGATCTCTCTGTCGGCAGTGG